ACACCGCGCCGGAGGCGGGGCCGCCCGGGGTTCGATTTTACCTCTCCGACTTCGGCAATTGCCGGATCGTCGGGCCGAACCCGCGGGATACCGTGGGGGACGCGTATGGGACCTTTGAATATATGGATCTCCCGGCCTTACGAGACGCCGTGTGCAGCCGCGCGACGGATCTCTTTAGCCTCGGCGCGTCGTTGTACGAAATCCTCTTCGGCCGACGGGTCTACGCGAAGTGCGTCAACCCGAAATGCCGCCACGATCACCACACCCGGCGGTGCTTTGTCGAGGCCGCGAAGCAGCCGATCGTGCTTCCGAGCGTGGACGGGAACGGCGGGGGGGGGGAGCGAGGAGGGGTCCTTTCGCATCCAACCCGGAGTAGCCAAAAAACCGGCGGAGGAACCCTCACGAGTCTGCATCAACTCATCGCCGCCTTGCTGAACCCCAACACGGAGGAGCGCATCACCGCGGAGGAGTGTTATAAATTCGTCGTCGAGGCCTTTCATTTCACCCAGAGCAACGGCAACTGAGAGGTCCCAAGCGCTTCCAAAGTCGGGGTTGGGGGGCGAGGGATGCCACGAGAACGAAGGAAACCAAAACGCGAAATGCGCAGCGAAAGCGCCATCATTGGGAGGCCTCCAAGCAAGAGAAAATTGCTCTCGCTTGAATCTCGGGAAAATCCATCAAAGATTTCCTTCTGGTAGTGCTTTAGTTGTTGTTTTTGTGGTGGTGGTGGTGGTTTGGGGGCGGGGTGATTATTTCCTTTTTGATCGCCTTGATTTCTGACGCTTTATACAGGATGCTTACTTCTCTCAGCACATATCCCGCGAAAACAGTCTTACCTCCACGTATTTTCCTATCCGACCCCGTATGTGGTAAATTTGATGATATATTTTCCCTCTTCAGACGAAAAAGAGCGAGACTGTAGTTTTATGTTTATTTGATTGGCAATGGCCTCACTTTTCCTGTCATCACCATTTCCCCCCCCCCCTTCTTTGTGTGTGTTTAGTCATTTTCCAAATGTGGACGCCTTTTAAAGCGGACGAATGGAATGTATTCTCCCCAACACGTCGTCCACAGGGTTTTATTTGGAAGGGGGGGAAGAAGTTTTCCCGACAATGTCGCTTCAAGCTCCTAAATTGGTATCCACTTTTCCTGTTTAATCACCCCTGGTGCTGAGTTAAGATGTAGGGAAGCGTAATGAAATGAGTTTCCCTTCTGTAGCTGCGCAAATTTACTTAACGGTGTACAACATTCCTTTCCTGACATTGGTTTCTGAATATATATATATATATATAATGAAAGGTGTAGGACGAATAACGAGTGGTAAGAAGGTTGTAGACATGTTCTTGGTTCTATTCACCTCTACTCACTCCCGGACCGTGTGCAATTCGATATGTACCCAGTTAACTCTGTACAGTTTCCTTATGTCCTTCCCTTACGTGCACGGATATGTTGTGAATCCTTTTCCGTTTCGTGCTTTTTCATTAAAAGAAATAAAGTATCCACTCACGTGGAGTTGAAAAATCCTGCCGTTGTTCAATGTGCGTCTCAGCAGTGGCCTACCCCAATCAATCCTTTCTTGCTTTTTCCACGAAGGCAGAAGTCTTTCACGCGAACTTGCACTCCCCTCCCTCCCCAATATATATATACAGGTAAATAGATAAAAATAAAAAGGTCAAACGCCTAACCAAGGGAGCCAAGGAGGGGGGAAATGCATCGACGGCTGGAATCCAGCTCCCTAGGACGGAGTTCTTGGGCAACCCCTACCACGTTGCGTCGTCTTTTCACCCGTCGGGATTTTTTCAACGGCAACGATGTCGCCTCAAAAAAAAACACCCCTTCACGGGTTTCCCCGCATGGCAGCGCCATCACGAGCGCGACCCCCCCCCCACGGCCCGCCATGACGACCCCAGCCGCCACCCCAGGGGGGGTCGATTACAGCGAAAAACTTCAAACCGCCGCCGAGGCGGCGCGGCAGCGGCAGCGTTCGATCCCGCGCGCGACGGACGCCCAACGGGAAGGCCACGAACCCCCTTTATCGGGGTTTAAATCCGAACGCGAGCGGTGGTGGCCACCGGAGAACCCCAATTGGTCCGGCGGCATGTTCGCCTCGCCGTTTGATCGGAATAAGAAGCGGCTGGATGGGATGTATGTGCCGGAGTTAAAAGAGGTGATGAGCCCGGATAAACCGCAGGAGATCAGCTACGGTGGGGATAATTTTTTCATCAACTCCGACTGGCATATGGCGGATGAAACGTTTGAAAGCACGCGTCGGTTTATCCCACCGCCGAGTTTTGATCCCGCGATTGACGCGATCGACGATGAGGGGTTTATGGATCAAAAAGTCATGCTGGACATCCAAAAAGCCGTGGAGGAGGATAAACGACTGCTCGAAGGCTTCGGGAATCCAATGCTTGTGGAGGATCAGGTGGATTACCTCCTCTGCCCTCAGCGGGAGGGGCAGGAAAGCATCCAGCAACGGCAGGAGTTTAACGGATTCGTCCATTGGGGCCTCCTCCACGGCGCGCACATGATTCTCGAGGAGAACCACGAAATCAAAAAGGCGCACGAATTCGTCAACCGCTACATGCGGGATATCGACCTCTTCCAGAAATGGCTGGAGCACCCAAAGGTGCGTGCGCATATTCAGAAAAAGTTCGGCATCGACATGCACGCGAAGTTCGACAAGCTCATGGCGCTCACGATGGCGATGTACACGCGCTCTAAGATCCAGGTCTACGAGGACGACCCCGCGGGCGCCCTGAAATCCCTCACCGCCGCGATGAGTTTCATCTCCAACGGCGCGGATTTGAGCAAGGAGCGGCATCGGAAAGCCCTCGGGGCGGTGCTCGTCGCGCGTGGGATGGTGTATTGCAAGTTGAAATCGTTCGAGCGCGCCGATGACGACCTCACGCGGGCGTTAGCCTTCGTCAAGGCGGATCGCTCGCCGACGCTGTTTCAACTCCGCGCGGAGGCGCGTGAGGCGCTCGGCCGCATCGATGAGGCCCGCGCCGACGAGGAAAAGGCGGCGGAGATATGGGAAAAGGCGGAGGTCATCACCCCCGGGATGCAGGGAACACCGCATAAGTTTGTGGTTTAGTTGTTTATTTTACTATAATTATTATTATTATTATTGTTGTTGTTGTTGTTATTATTGGGAGGTGGGTATGGTATTATTGTAGTATCAGAGGAATAAACTGATGAAGAAAAGACAAAGGAAACGTGAGCACACGCGTCATGTCAAATATTTGTTGTTATCGACTTGAAGTGTTTTGCATTTCTAAACGTTACTGCGCATCGCTTCAATCTTTCTCCCCGAACTGCACGTGTGGTTGCTGTTGGCCCTTAACAACAGTGTAATTAAAAATGAAGGGGTTGAATTGCAACTTTTATTTGATTGTCTATTTATTGTTTTCTTACCCTCAGCAATAGCACCACAATAATAAATTTTAGAAGAAGCACTAGGATAGGTGAGGAAATAGAGAGGAGAGGAGGCGCAAACCATAAACACGTTTAACTGCATAAAAAGGCTGATTTTTACATCCATCTACACGCATACCGATATAAAGTAATAGATAGAAAGGTTTTCTGAAATTCAGTGTGTGTGTGTGTGTGTGTGTGTGTGTGCGTATTAGTGTTTCCCCCTCCACACCCAAAAAAAACAAAGGCAGAAACCGATCCTACAAACGGAAACCCCATCCCCACCGCACGACCAGGAAACGAAAAGAGCCAAACTCACATTTGGATTCTCTCCCTTTCTCTCTTTTTTTACGCTATTCTTCCCCTCCCCTGCCTCTCTTTTCTTTTTTTTCTTTTTTTTCGAGGGTTGACGTGTGCACGATGCTGCGTCGTCGCGTCCTTCGGGTGCGGGTGGCCCTCTCCGGCGTATCGGCCCCCCTCCTCTCCCAGGCGCGGCGAGGGATCCTCCTCGATCGCACCCTCCCCCGCCTTCAGCCTTATCACCCCCCTGGAAGTCAGGATTTGAACCTCCCGTGGTATCGCAGCCCTCTTGGCGGAGGTGGCGGAGGAGGAGGAGGCGGAGAAACCACATCGGAGCCAATCCCCCCCCCGCTTTCCCCGGCCGAGCCGATCGTGGCGGAAATGGATACCTCCGCGAGGCTGGAGGAGGTCCTCCTGGAAGGGTCGTTTCAGCCGGAAGGAAGGGGGGGGTTATCGGCCTCCCGGGCGGGCCGCGGCCACGCACGCGAAGGCGCCCTGCATGCCACCCCGCCTTGTCGAATGCCCGCCCTCCCCGGGACCTCCTTGGAGACGCGGATTGACGAGATCCTCAAGGTGGAGGCCAACCTCGCGTCCGAGCCGCTTCCCAAAGTCGTGCAGCTCCTGATCGATCCCAACGCGGAAGGGGTCGAGCGGATCTCCGTCGCCGACTTCGCGGCGATGCAGCCGAAACGGCAGCTCACCGCGCTGGGGGGGAAAAAAGCGTGGCTGGAGTTTCTCCTGGAAAGTCCGTATTACCAACAGGTGGCGCGGTTGTCGGTGGAATCCCCCGCGTACGACCTCCGGGCGCTTCAACAGGCCGGGATTCATACCCTGCATCAATGGGCGGAGCGCCCGACGACCGTGAAGGTCTCCGATCACACCCGTAGCGCCCTCGAGGCCGCCATGGCGGAAAGCGTGCGTGCGTATATGAACGAAGTCGTTCAGGTGGTGCGTCTAAGCCATCAACACGGCGAGCTCCTCCAGCGATGGCTTTCGGACGTCGTTGGGAAGTTCATTCTCGACTCGTTGAGGATCTCCGTCGAGTCCGCCTCCGCGGCGTTGCATAAACGGCGAAGCCAAGGCCCCGGGGACGGGAAAGAACGCCCCCCCGATCGGGCCTCCGTAGGCCCACCCCAAGGCGTCGAGGGGAGTGAGCTCAGTGCGCTTCACCTCCTTTTGGAAAGCGCCGACGCGGAGGGTCGACGGAAGGGGACGGAACCCCTTTCTAGTACGAACGGCAGCCCACCAGGTAACGGCGGGGGCCCCGTGCTCCGTCCGGGAGAGGCCTGCACGTTGGAGCACTACCACTTCTTTTTCCAGAAAGTCCTTCAGAGTATGCAGCAGGATTACGCCACCCAAAACGCCGGGTGTGGGGACGCCCAAAGTGAGGCCGAGGTGCTGGAAGGCACCCACACCATCATCGCCAACGCCCTCGCGCGATTGCTGGAGCAGGCCGCCCAACAACACCTCCCGGAGGAGCTGAAATTTCTGGAGGAAAACGGCTACCTCGCGCTCGATCGCGTCCCGGGGCTGCTCCGGCTCGCTGCGTCGTATCTGCAGCTGCGAAACATCCCGGTGCGGCTTTTTGTCTTCCACAGCACCGCCGAGGCGAGCCCGCAGGCCGCCGCGATGCGGCCCGTCGCGGCCGAACGCGCGACGACGGAGCCCGCAGGGAATCGATCGATCTCGTTGGAGGTTCCCGCGTCGAGCTTCGCGCCCGGGACGTTTCTCTGTGGGTCGGAAAAGCTGAACGTGACGTTGGGGCAGTGGTCGGGGGCGCCGGAGCCGCCGAGTTCGCACCCGTCATCCCCGGCCTCTTCCTTGGGGGATCCGGTGGAGCGGGAGTACCTTTCCGTGCTTCGCCGGATGCGGCATCATATGGATCAGATCTCCATGATGTCCATCGAGGAGGTGCTCCGGAAGGCGGCGGGGTATGGGGCGAACGGGTTTAGCGCGGCCGAGGCGCTTGGCATCCGCCAACTCTTCGGCCCCGCGAAGCTCGTCGAGGATCGCTTGGTGTCCTTGCTCCACTACAAGCCCGCCTCGGCGGAGAACACGATCCATTTTATCGAGGCTGGGTATAACTCCGGGAAGTCCGCGCTGTTGGAACGTCTTAGTGCGCGCATGCGACCCGGGGAGCGGTCCGTGATGGTCCGCTACGGGAGCACGGCGACGCCTTTTATCCCGGACCTGGACGACCACCCCGTCGCCTTCGCCTCGCGCTTTTGGTTCCGCGTCGCGTTGGGGCTCTGCCCTTATCTGATCCGCACCGAAGGGTTATTCAGCCGGGCGCCGAAATCCGTCTTCTGGTGGGGCAACCCGAACAACTGGTCGTGGGAGGCGATTCAACGGGTGATCCCGGCGGCCGGGCACTCCGGGTGGGGCCGACGGGGCAACGTCAACGAGGCCGGCGACGCCAAAGGGTTAGGGACGGCGCCGAGCGACCCGCCCTCGCTCCGGGCGATCCTCGTCGACGACATGGACCGCGTCCTGGACGCGATGGAGGCGAAATGGGGCCCGCTCTGCGCGCGCGACCCTTCCCCGTCCGCGGTGGCCCTCCAGGCGGAGCTGACGGAGACCGTCGAGCCCGTCGTGGACGACGTGAAGCCGCGCAAACGGGGGAAACCGGGCGACGAC